AGGAAGGAAGGAAGGAAGGAAGGAAGGAAGGAGATAACATGGTATGAATTACCTTCAAAAACACTGATACTATTATTTGGCAATAAAAACCTTTTAAAACTTAATAGTTTGTTACAAGGACATTAGTTACAAACAGGATAACCAAAGAAAATAACAAATTGTGGCAGACAAAAAATTAATTTATTAAAACTGATACACTTCAAAGGAATTGTGGGATGGGTTAAAAAACAGGCTTTTGAAAATGCTGTGAATGGTATATTTAATATTACAGAGATTATGCTGCTAAAATTTACGGTTTTGTCTTTACTAAACTGGAGTTCTAGAGCTTTTTCTGTCTTTTGTATTAAAATTTGCATGCAGAATTTTATTTTAATATTACTTTGTATAATAAAGTTGTAAGTAATTATGCTTAAGATATATGTGTGTTCACAATAAAATCTGGTCAGACCTTCATCTGCTAAATACACAATAGCACCTTCCCCTGGATCTGGACACGGAGGCTCGATCTCTAAACCTGTGGGATTGTATAGAGGCTCTGGGTGAGAGGGAATCCATTCTGGAAAAGAAAAAGAAAGAAAAGAAATGAGCTTTAAAATGATGCATTAAAAAACAAAAAGAAAAATCTATTTAAAGGTTCAAGAGGCAGGATACTTCTATCCCTGCTTATTAGTAGGTGAATTAACTTTCTACTAGTTTTTAAAAATGAAAAAAAACATACTGATGACCCTTCGTTTTATCTTTTCAAAAACATAAAGTAGAAGTAATAACTACACCAGAAAGTTGATCAATTTTGCTCCATGGTGATACTCTTAGCATTATTCATAACCCAAGCATAAGCCTTTAACACTGAAATCTGTACAGTAGCCTGCTATTATATCATAAATCTCTTCTGTGGCAGATAATCACTAGATTCGTAACATATACTGTACCTGGGATCCAAAGAACCAGTATTGTATAGTTCTGTGACTACCAAGCTTCTTGTTTACACTTTTTGTTATGGTTTCATGTTATTATTTTAATCTGTATTTTATAAGAAGCTTTAATATATTTTCATCAATCATTTTAATCTGTTTTAATTATATTCTATTTCAGAGTTTTTAATGGAAATCTGTAGAAATTCTTAAAGCAATCACAACAAAATATAGTAATCCTACATTGAAACTGTTGTGTAAAATTTCATATATGTGTAAATTTTGCTGTTGTTATATTTGCTGTTTTTCCTTTTCTTTCCTTTTTAAATTTTTTTGTTATGTTTTATTAAATAAATGCACTTTTTAAATAAACAAATATCCAAGAACTGTGTTTTTACTCTGTGCTGCAAAAATGGGAATATACTTTGTAAACTGAGCAACAGAACATTACTGAGCAGTTATGACAAAATTCTAAGTTAGGTAAGATTCTTTCTTATATTGTTTATCTAGTTATCCAGCATCATCAATATTGGTACTTTATGATGAATAGGAAGCCAATGTTCCTATAAAAACAATTATAGGAACAGGTGATGAGTTCCCTGTTATCTGTTTTCTTTGTATCAGTAGAATACTCTACCATGCCATGTGAGCCCCTAAATTGAGTGTCTTCATTCCAATAAAAATATTTTAACATAAAAACATATATACATTCTTCCTGTCTTATATGTAGGGATTACCATAGTTGGTCAGTTCTATAACTTACCTTCAAGTTATTCAAATTTATTTTAAATAGCAGAAGACGGCTTTTGCCGGAAGGTGTCATCACAGGAACTCAAGACTTTATTTATAAGAAAAAAATCTGCACAATTCTTTTTGCTAAGGTCCAATACAACCTGGAGCAGACAGAAGTTTCCTCCAAGCCCACTTCCTACTGAGTAGATGGAAACTTCCATATTGTTTTATTAGCAGCAGTATGGAAGTGGTTTGCCAATACTTTCTTCAAGGTAGTTTTTTTTTTTTTAATCTATCTAATCTACTGTACAGTCCAGAAATTTCCTGGTGGTCTCGATCAAAGTACTAAACAGATCCCAGCCCTACTTAGCTTCTCAAGATCAGCCATCAAGGTTGGCTAAAAGCTGTCATCTGCTCTGGAATTTGGCTTATAATTGAAACAAAAATGAATGGAGGTTCACAAAAGCAGACAAGCCTTTTGAGATGACAAGCATGATCTTTTATTTCAGGGTGTTAAATTAAATTTGATTTTTCCCACTTGCTGTATCTGAAATTAAATTAAAAGTAGATACTGAAAACATAGTATTTACATCTCCTACTTTACCAAGGCCAATTCTCTTTGCAGGAGTAAACAAGAAAGATTGCTGCCTGAGATAGTAAGGCTAAAACCATGGTACTACATTCTATCTCCCCTAGTGTCTCTACTTCTCTCAGTCCCCTTTGGAGCAAATGCTTCACTCTTGAGAAAGTTCTCTGATCAAGGCAATGTGGGTTGGTGGCCACAGAAAATGCTTGTGTCATCATGAAGTCTCTGCTGTTACCTATTGCAATGCTTCATCCCAATCCACAAGTTTAACTTTAATGTTTCAGACTGTCATTGTAATTAATTCAAACTAATGTCAAACTGATGAAATCATAGTGCTATAAGACATTCATGAATATATCCTTGGATTATCCAAATAGGCATAATTGCAAACCTATCCTCATCCAACCAGCCCAGAACTGTAACTGAGGATGGGATTACAACTCTGAAAGGAAAAGGGACACAATTTTTGAAAATTTTTAGACCTGATGTTGTTGAATAGTCTTAGTTGTTAAAAATAAAGGTTATTTCCTTTAATATTTCAAATCCCCTATATTGAAGTTTTGCATTTGTTTACATTTAAATTTGAAGGATGAATTAACTGCATCAATGCAAAGTAATGAATCAAGAAAAATTATTTAAGTGGCTGCAGCAAAGTTATAAAGTGCTTTACTGTGGAAATTATAAACATAATATTTCTTTGTGATCTATCAAGAAAAGTGTCACATTAGAAAAGGTTATAATATTACTTACCAATATGCTTAATTTTTTCTCTGATAACTTCATACTGATGGGGCCAGCGTACTAAGTGTAGATCTCCCACAGGAGACAGGCCATATAAATCTCGTGGTTCACGAAGTCGTGGCACCCATTTTCCAGAGTTATATTCCAATAAAATCTGTGTGGTCCGTGGCAAAAGTTGATCACAAAAAGAATCTGTAAGAAAAATGTGTGCATGTATTGATCACTGATCAATTTTCATCTTTACGCCTCAATGCCCTTCCCTCTGCAAAGATGGATGGTAGATTTAACAAGATACCCCTTTTGCACAGACAATATCCTTTTGCCTTTGATGAAATTGAAACTTTATAACATGTTTTCCTAAAGTGTAGATTTTTCAAGGAATTGTGTTCCCAACTAACCCAATCCTTAATAGATAGACTGCCTGGTCAATCTGACCAAGGGAATTTAGAATTCTTCCTAAAAAATAAGTACCCTGAAATCACTTATGCAATTGTTAAATGCTATAAACCTCCTCTACATTCAAATCCAACAACAGTAAGTTATTCACTAAGATGCTGTTGCAGATTGCATTTCATTTTTATGATCTACTCTTGGACAGCAATAAATTGTTCATTTGTTAGTTCTAAGAGTTTTTTGCTCAGACTAATTTATTGGATACAACCAAAAAGAATCCTGTCATCTCTATATCCTATATATAGATATTATTTATGACTGTAGGATATAGCAAGCTTTGCAGAAGTAGCAAATTAGTCCAGAATGGCAACAAAAACTGTGCAACAAAGCAAATACAGAATTTGACTTTGAATTAAGGGAATCTGCAGGATTTGTGGAAAGATTGTAGACATTTATACAGTATCATCTAGTTTGTTGTGGGTATATATGAAGGAATCCATAGTTTGGTGGGAATTGCACAGTGGCAATGGAAAGTCAGAGATGACTGGATTGCAACATTCTGAATGAGTGCAACCAGGGGAAAAATATTCTGCTAGGTAACACGAATAAATGAGTGGGAACAAGATGACTGAATGCAGAATGTTTGAACCATTGTTTGGGCCCTTCAAAGACCCAAAGAAAACAAGAATAGTGACTGTTGTTCTGAATGTGGAACAGACCATTTTTTGGTAGTATCAAGAGGAGCTTGGGAAAAATGGATCTGAAAGAAAAGGAAAGAAGTGAAAGAAGCTAAAGTGAAGTGGAACTACAGGAAGAAAAGATGTAAGTATGAAAAACTATTAGAATATAGATGAATCTCCCAACAGAATGAATGAAAGTGGACCTAAGAGGATGTGAAAAGTGAAAACAGAGTGAAAAAAAATTGTTACAGAGTGCCACATAGGAGTGTGGAGTTATTCTTCCAATGAGAACTATGAAAAAGGAAGCCTAGTAGAATGATGAAATAAAAGAGGCATATGGCAGAATGATTAGTGGATGACAGAAACACATTTACATAGTGTATCGAGAAAAAAACAATTGCAAAGAATGCAGCAAAAGAGAACAAGAAATAGTTAAAATGAAGGGGCACAGAAAATTTAGAGCTCTTCTGATGGAAATTAAAATAAAATGGAAGTGTGGGAAGAGAAGGCTAAGTTAGGTACCTCTACCAGAGTGAATGGAATTGAAAGTGATGAAATTGAAATGATGGAATGTTGGAAAGAGTATTGTAGAGATTGTATGGGAATGACAATGTTATGCTGAAAAATGGAATTGAAAAAAATGCCATAAATGTTAGTATTCAACAACAACTGATGAAAAAGAAATTGGAAATGCTGTGAGAACGTTGAAAACTGGTAAAGTTACAATTACAATTGAAGGCATGTTAAACTATGGCTGGCTTGCATATTGAGTATGCATATGGAATATCTATGGGAATTGCATATGAGTACCTATGAGAATTGTTTAATGTGGGTAAAGACTGAATCTGCACCAGATGATTGGAAGCATGCCATCATTGTTACTCTATACAAAGGGAAAGGTAGCAGGGGTGAATGTAAAAACTACAGGGAGATTAATTTGTTAAGTATGCTCAGGAAGGCATTTGGCAGAATTCTAACTGAAAGAGCATAAGAGGTGACAATGGTCATGTTTTGGAAGTGCGTGGCTTTATGCTGGGCAAGGGGTCTGCAGGGCAGTTTTTTATTTTTCAGCAAGTCACTGAGAAATGTAGCAATATGAGAAAGGAAATTAACTGCACATGTGTTTACTTAGATAAAAGTATATGGTCATAATAGGCTTAAATTATGGAATGTTTTGCATCACCATGGATTTAAAGGTAGCTGCTGAATGCAGCGAGTATGATATATGATGTGACAGTTTTGAATGTATTTATGAATAAATATAGAAGGAATGCTTCTGGTGACATCAGAGGTGTATTGGTTGGGACTGTGAATATATGTGTACCTCTGAACACAGATGATGCTGTGTTATTGGCTGAGAACCCAAATGATATGCAGGGAATGTCAGACAGGTTGTATGATATAACAAGATGTGTAAATCTGAAAATTAACATATCAAAGACTACTGTCATTATGTTTGACAGAAAAATGTAGTGAATGATTCCAAATTATACATAAATGGCTAAAACTAGATGAAATAGATGAACATCAAAAGAATGTTTGATAAAGGTAGGAAAACAGATGGGAAGTTTGAAGATATGTGCATGTTGGCAGAAAGCAAGACTTATGTGTTCAAATCTATTCAGAAGGCACTATGCCAACCCTTTGCTGTGCTACAGCTACATGGCAATTCATCTTTAATATTACCTATTTGCACTCAGCTCACAAGAAATAGAATTATTCAGACCTGTGAAAAATGCACACTGTTCAAGATCTTCTGTTACATATGGGATAAAGGGATCCTCATCCTAAAATACAAATAAAATAAAATAGAAAATGTTATTCTTTCTTGCAAATTGAAAATCAATAATATCTAATTAAATAAAAGTAACCATTAATAGAGAATTCATGTTTAATTTTTAAGTCTGCAGAACAAAACTAAAAAAAAAAAAGAGTGGGTGAAAAGGAAAATAGTTCCTGGACTTTGGAATATATAATAATGTTACATATAATAATACTCAAAATTATTACATATTATAGTATGTTATATTACATATAAATAGTAATATGTAATAATATCCTGAACTACCAGGATGACCTGTCCTACAACATTAGATAGGGTAGGCATGCTCCAGTCCCTTCCCTTAAATGTTGCCATCTGATGGGATACACCTTTTCCATGGTATATTATATTTATTATTTATTTATCATATTTATGTAGCCACCCATCTCATACAAGGTGACTCTGGGTGGTGTACAACAATTAAAAAAATAAATACATAAAAACAACTACATATAAAAAACTATAAAAACACACAAAGCAGGAGGGGACAAATTTAATAAGGGAGCCATCGTAAAATCTTCCCGGTCCCCTGGGAGCCCCAGGCCTGATCACATAACCAGGTCTTGAGGGACTTATGGAATGTTAAGAGGGATGGAGCTAATCTCACTTCCGGGGGGAGAAGATTCTACAAGGTGGGCGCCACAGCAGAGAAGGCCTGCCTCCTGGGACCTGCCAAATGTAATTCTCTAGCAGATGGGATCCACAGCATGCCTTCTCT